ATCCAGTTAATTAATTCCTCTTTTGACCTTCGCTATAGGTCGCGAAGGACGATGTTTCATCGAACTATTCACATAATTAACTTGTTAATATAATTATTTGACAGTTTTAACAGGTTTATTTTAAGAAATAATTTCAGACGTTTCGGACACTTACAAGTTCCGTGTTCATTAGATTTAAGTTGATTTCACATTTAAATATTACATTACATATTAAAGATTGTACTTACGTATAAAATATTTGAGATTTTTAAAATATGCTTTGTTGATTTACTCCTTCCTTAGTACCTCAAACTACCACCAGTTCCAAATTAGGCACACAGTAAAACTTAAAGTTGCCATAAGAATATTTCTTAGGTTTGATAGGTGAAAGCAGAATAACGTTAAAGTACCTACGAATGTAAACCGAAATTAGTTTTTTACATTAGTATAGAGAGTGGCACTCATTTGTTGTCTGCATTGATTTTTTAAACCTGAGAACATTTTACCATCATAATAATTATCTTAAAATTTAATTTATAAAATTACAAGTGGCTGTTATGGCCTCCGATTTTTCGAGGGCATAGTATGATGACATAAAAATAAGTTCCGTCCAGTGCCGGTGGCACTATATGAGGTCATATTCATCCGCTACAAATAGAATTAAAAATAAAAGATATAAAGACTATTTAGTCTCGTATACTTTTTCCTCATATAATACTAGCTGTTATCCTGCGACTTCGCCCACGTAAATTGTAACCTACGTTACCCAGGAATGATGTAGCTTCCCGTAAGTGAAAGAAATTTTAAAATCAGTCCAGTAGTTTCGGAACCTATCAATGCGAATTAAAAAACAAACAAATCTTTTCTCTTTATAATATTAGTATATATTAAATTGGCAACACATTAATAATTTGTTCTCGCTCCATAGTTTAAATTAAATAATAATAATAATTACAATACAGCACCTGTTCATTTGGTTTTAGTGTGGAATCGAAGTTTATTTATTAACAGAACTAGCTGTTGCCCGCGACTTCGTTCTCGTGGTATAGTTACTTTGGGTAGCATATATTTTCCAAAAAGGCTGTTGATGATGAAATTACCTTCATGTTTAGGTTCTAAGATACTACAACAAATATCTTTAAAAATTTAGGGATATTACTCGTAATGCAATCCAATCAAATTTGAAATACAGATGAAAAAACAGTTTTGAAGTTAACACAAAACTTAATCGAAAACGTTATCTACGTAAAATTCTTTGATATAAACGTTAGCGCAAATTACTTTAGCATAAACGCCATCTAGTATAGCAAAATTTTCCGAGTAACTTAGTCGTGTAGTGGATAAGCGCCACGGCTAGCGGTCGTTGTAGTTAAGCAACTTTCGTAAAAGTCAGTCACGGGATGGCTTACCAAATCATGAAATACAAACATTTCATGAAAGGGCTGGCCGCATCATGAATATGTTAATTCTACGGTCTGGCCACGACATTTATACCTGGAAACCTATACTTAGGTGCAGTGGCGTAGCTGGGTAACCTAGGGCCCTGGGGCAAATAAAAAAAATGGGGCCCACTGCTATCAAAACTGGTAAGGCTTTTTGTAGTAAAATCATTAAATATACAAATACTTTAAAAATGCTAAGCAACTTTATCATCAGCTCTTTTTCGTGCATGGGCAGGTAATAAATTATTAAACACTAACAACATAAATTACAATTATTTTTATACTTGGTGTAGGTATTGGGCAATAAAACGAAATAGAAGATTCAAGGGTTTTTTATATATTTATTTATTCATAGATACGTTGCACCAGCTTACTGTTATTTAACCTATCGGCATGCAAGCTATTTACAAAAATTATCAATAGAAATATTTTGTCCAGAAGTACTTGCAGAAGGCTGACTAAAAAAACCTGTCAATTTTGGGCAATTTTTGTTTTCTTCATTGTCTTTCTTGGCGTTGTTTGCGTCTAAATGCACCACTGGGTTTCTTTTTTTTGTCCATAATATTAGTTTTCTAATTTATTTTAGAAGTAAAAAGAAAGCGAAACGTAAGTAAAAGGAAAACATTTTATCGCCGCCAGTGTTACCAAAATGACAAAAAAAACATCACATAATTAATGGACGGCCCCCTACCGCATGTGACTTGTATTTTTCACGGTATTTTGAGTTAGTGAGTAGCCGAAATCTATAGATTTCTTTAAGTAACTATGTATACGTACTATAATCAAATAAAATTTAACTTTTGTATGGACCAGTAGAAAAAAATTATTGACATACGCTTAATTACTCTTGATACATTAACTTTTTAACCATTCACGAAAAAAAATCTTGACTCGAAGTTCACAATCGCGAATCACAAAAACGCATATCGATAAATAATAATATGTCTGTCAACCCACACAAATAATTTAGGGAAATTCCCTTTTTATAACTTTGGAATTTCTCACAATTGAGTTGCCATGATTAAACTCGAGTTGCCACCTGGCATTTTTATTTTGAATATGGGGGAAATTTTTAAAAGTTGAGTTCGTTTGAGATTTTCTGGTAAAGATTCGAGGGCCCCCTGAGCTTAAGGGCTCCGGGGCACCGCCCCGCCTAGCCCCTTGGTAGCTACGCCACTGAGCCTGCACAAAGTTCTTTGATCAAAATAATAGCACGACTTAGAATAAACTCGCATTCAGCTGGCTGAAAATTGATTCTAGGTAAATTTTCTAGGCAAAATATCTGCGATTTAGAATTCATTTAACACCATCTAGTTTAGGTCATATATATATATAGAAAATATAAAAATATTTTTTCTTTCGTAAACAAAATTACTTGAATTTGAACATTTTTATCCATTAAAATTTCAAAAATGTAATATTTACTCAAAACCAGTTTTCATCACTATACAATAAAATATTTTGTAAATAATATTAGGTAATTTTATTACAATAACAAATCAGATTGTAAGCAATGGTTGCTATGGTGACATTTTGATTCCCCATAAAATCTTTTACTCCCATTTTTATTCCTTTAAGTGCTAGTATTCGGGATAAAATATAACCTATTACCTCCCTAGGGTCATAAACTACCCAAATACCTATTTTCATCGAAGTAGGTAGGTCCATAAACAAAGAAGTTTCATACAAACTTTTTCACCCTTTTTGTCCCCTTCGGGATGGAATTTCCAAAATTCCATTCTTAGTACACCTCTACATATTAAGGGGAATGTTCCCTCCAAATTTCAAGTTTCTACGACCAGCGGTTTAGGCTGTGCGTTGTCTGTCAGTCAGTAACTCAGGACATCTCCTTTTATATATGTATAGATAAGTGTCATATGAATATGAAATATGAAAAAGTGGCTATGAATGGATATTTTGCACTTTTTTAGGGAATGAGAGAGGAGATGTTTGGCAATGCAGTTCAACATACACATCCCTGCGACAGATAATGGAAAAATCTTAAAACTCTCACAGTAATATTTTGATGAACTTTTTAACTGGGGTTTTTTATTTGGTGTGGTACGTGGGTCATTTCAAATTCTCTTCATTTTTGGATTTATAATCAAGGCAATTTATGAGTGATTTTTTCTAAATTAATTTATATTTACTATAAAAATGTAAGACAGCCTAAATAAGAATTAAGCCTTCCATATAAATTAAATAACAAACGAAGATTAAAAAAATATAAAGAATATTACATTATTATAGTATATGAATCTGAACCTAAATAGTTTAAGCTCTTTTATTGATAAAAATATGATATAATGAAAGTATGGTAATCACCATCCGTAAGCTTTATATAGAAAAAAATCTAAACTATAAATATTGAGACGACTGGGAATTGATTAGGGGTTCTCAAAGAAGAAAGTTGATACCTCGAAACAAGCATGTGTGTCACTAGATTATACATCGAAATACCAAAGGTACATATAATGACCGCTAATATCACGTTATAATTGTATTTCACGACCAATCTATCAATTGGAATTAAAATATTCTTCAATATTTATTTATTCATGTCATTGTAATTTATTTAAGCTTGTGGTAAGAAACCAACCATCCTACTTCTGTTATACAACAGGCCCTGGAGCTAATCATAAAAATTGATATAAAAAAGGGTATACTTCAATAAATTCAAAGACAATTTCTAATTTTCTTAAACATTTACTCAAACAATCATCATTTAATATTAACAGATAGTACAAGTGATCCTTAAAAACATTCCTTACTTATATTATAAATGCGAAAATAACTCTGTTACGTATTTACGTTTAAACTACTAAACGCATTTAGATAATTGGCATCGAGTGAGTACAAAAGCCTAGAAAGTGAACAGGATAGTTTTATAGAAAAAGTTCACTTCTCCTCATAATTTGTAGAAGTTAAAATGGACAATATTTCCTTATCTGAAATTAATCCTTACTATCCTCTCAATTGTACTCCAGGAGTTTAAGCTAGTTTAAAATAATATCATTTTTATTATACTTATTGTAGAACAAACTATAGGTAATCTTCAATGATAACAGCTTCTAAATATCTATTACGATTTTTTTATAAGTATTGGCAGCCTCAGTACTCAACAAACGTTTTTCGGGCCGCCACAATATTTCTTTCTCGAGCCGAGAAATAATGCTTCACAAATTCATGATATTACAAGTGCAGCTGCTTCATTAAAGATAATGATCTAAGATGCGAGACAGGTACGCTCTATATACCTAAATGTGTACGCTTTAATTAAATTAATTTGTTATAATATCAGGTATGTTATTCCTTAATTTCTCGAACACAAAAGTGTTGTCCAATTTCAACACTAGTAGTGTTGTTATCGTTTATTTACATCGGTGGTACTTCAAATGTATTTTTTTGGTATTCATGGCGTCGTTGTTCTGTTTCATCTCTTACATGTTGACATTATCTTGATTTGAAATGGTTTTTTAGTGATTACAATTCGTTATTTTCCAAAACAGTTTCTAATTAGAAACCTATAATCGTTATAATGGTTATAGGTTATAAGTGATCACATACAAATAAATAAATTCAAACATTATAACGTTTTAAATATTCCAATATTTTTGGGTTCACATATTCCTGAGCTCTCTCATCGTACACGTAATTCACATGACTCCATTTTCTTATTGGAACTATATAATTTTCTACAAGATTGGGTAACTTAGAAGTTAAGGTCTCGACATCCTTCAAATTTGATAACAAATCGTTCCGCGCAGACATGAGCACAACCGGGGAAGTAATCTGTGAAACGTTGTACAATGGTGGCTTTCGCGTATTATATCTCTTCATGTTACCATCCAAACCTTCATCGAACCTCTTAAATTTTTTTGATACTATTAACTGAGCAAAGTGCAATAGGTTTTTGGTGGAGGTTCCTGACAGTAAATGTCCAAATGCAACAGATATGAGTTTTGGTTTAATACTACCGGGCTGAAGACCTGTTGAGAGTGTATAAGTCATGCCACACACAGCATCAGGTGCGAAATGACAAAGTATTTCAGTTAGGAAATGCGTCAACTGATGTTTGGCCAAAAGTTCTCTTAATCCTGCTGCGTCAAGAATCTCTTTTACTTGTCTCGAATTTAGAGCCAATGCCCTTGGTACGGGACTGTTCATGTGAGTCATCCACGCCACGGGAGCCAAGTGAATTGATAATTGAATTTTTTTATTATACTCAGGCTTTAATGATGACATCACAAAGAAATTTGTGGTCCCTTGAGAATGACCCATATAAAATAGTTTCTGCTTACCAGTTAATTGTAGAATATAATCTATAGATGCTGGGAGGTCGAAATTACCATGCTCGTCGAAGGTATAGTCCCAGAATTGGATGTCCTTGTCCGGATCCAGTGAAATGTGTCGACGAGAGTATGTATTGCCCCTGTGGTTCACAGCCCAGACGTCATAACAGTTCCTCGCTAAAACGTACCCCAATCCAAATTCAGCTCCAGCGACTATAAACACATCTGAACTATCGATCAAGCCATGCATCAATAAAATGGGATAAGACTGAGATGAATTATCATCGCATTTTGATAATATTTTGAATATGGTGAGAATGTAACCGTCCTCCGTGGTGACAGTATGTTCTTCTGATTTGTAGCCATATTTTGTTGTTAGTTCGGTGAAATTCAAATAGCTATCTTCATTGAGCCCCAAAGCCCTTTTAAGATCACGGGCTTCCGGTATCATATATGATAGTAGTCTAGCCTCTTGTTTAGACCCCGATGTGGTGACATTGTTCACTGTAATCAGTATGAGCACTATCACATAAAACACAATCACACTCCGGACTAGTTCCATCGACCACGTTTTACTTAATATGCGGAAAGATTATCATTTTATGTAGGTATTGTGAACATGTATCAAGTTTTATAATGTTCGTCTGACCTCTGTTTAAGGTCTTCAAGCAGCCCTCGCTGTTTCATCGGCTAAAGTACACATAACCTGTTAATTCTAAAATTATGCGGATAAACTTCTCTACTAGACTAACCCTATGTTATTTGTATGAAGGCCTCAAAATCAAACTGACGTCTGAATGGGTAATAACACTTATGGTATTTAAATCAGTATATCGAACTATATATAACTAAGTAGTTTAATGAGCAAAAAATATTTTTGCATAATTTATGTAATTGCATATTAATTATTTCCTTTTAATAATTTGTTTTTAAAAAGTATTAGTCATACAAAACTCAATAATGTTATTGTAGAAAAATGTATTCTGTTATAATAAAAATGAAACTTTGAGTTTAATATAAATGCATATTGGAACAGAAATGCCACTGTGAACGCGGCTTGATATATATTTAAACACAGCAAATTATAAATGAAGGCCCACTATTAATTTATCAATGGTAAGCAATATTTTGATGATATCCAACCGGAATTTATACATAATAATTAAAGTTCAATGTCATGTTCTTTAAAGCTCTCACGTCATATCGACATAGCAATTCATATATGTTATTAATTAACCTGAACATAAGAGTCCAGTTGATATACATGGTTACTTATGTTATTAGTTAAGAATATTTGCAAAACAATTAGAAGGTGCAAGGGTGACATTCCGTTTAAATGTTTGTCTATTCCATTTGGATATAGAGCGCTCTGTTTTTGAAAGTTTTTTTTTAACGCCTCTCGAGTATTTGGAAAAGTAGGATTTCACAAATACAAACCAAATAGTAATACACAAATTAAGTACAGGCGGAGCACTTCTAACTCCAGATTTAGTAACTAGAAGACAGCTTGCTATGCAGCATGAGATTGCGCGTGGTGGTTTACGTTGACTAAACCTGATTGGAGACGAGGTCTTACATGCGCGTAAGGTCATTAAACATGGTCCATTATTTTTCTAGGGTTTCCGTTTAGGACATTATTTAGGTGCTTGCGATTGTCGAACATTTTTTATTGTTGGTAACAATGCGGTTCAAAATTCCTGAATTCGTGGGGTGGATGCCTCAGTTAAAAAGCTTGATAATTGGGTATTTTTCAAGCTTTTTTACCTTTTTAATTCTATGCAAATGGACCAACGTTGTTTTAACGCTGGTTTTAATTACTACGAACCTGCAGTACCCATTACTTCCGCAACTCGACGTAAAAGTTCAAACTTATGATATATGTTATATTGACATCCCAGGAGCTGATGTCCATGCCCAGGTTTGATAATTCGTGCAAACAGTCCGTGGTAGTACCAAGAAGTTCTTTAAGAGCGCTAGAAGATTCTTGTAAAATATTACGCTGATTAAATAAAAGTTTGAGAATACAATTAAAAGGAAATTAGCATTTTATTATTCTACCTATCCTTTAACAAAATCCAGGCTTTTTCATAATTATTTTTAGTGATAGGTAATTGTCTAATTAATTGCTCTGCTTCACCTGACAGTTGTGTTTTGAAGTAGTTAAGTTTTTGTACATCATCAACAGATTTGTTATCATGGACTAATGAAAAAAAAAAAAAATAAATAAATAAAAATGAGTAGCTCGGTGGCGTAGTGGATAAACACCGCGGCCCGCGATCGTAGTCGTTAAGGGTCGGTCACGGGATGGGTGACCAAAAAATTATTATCTCGAGCTACTCCGTGCTTCGGAAGGCACGTTAAGCCGTTGGTCCCGGCTGCATTTGCAGTCGTTAATGGTTAATACCCTCCAATCCGCATTGGGCCACCATAAGGAAGGCCTGAGCCCCTGCAGTGCAGACGTAAAAGGGCTGGTGATGATGTTGATGATGACTAATAAAATAAATCTCTGAATGATGAACACTATATATATTTTTCATTAAAAGTTGATAATTTAATTTTAGTTAATTTTAAAACTGATTCGCTTTTAGAAGTGTAAGATGAAACATTGCATGTAAATTATTTCTCTCGGGAAAAAAATTAGATAATGTAGTTCGAAGTTTAAAGTAGAACTTCAATTCAAAAATGTGCCGAAAAATTCTTTAAATGATCCTCGTTTCATGTAACTCGTTTCATGTAATGATTCCAAAAGTGTACTCACTGATCAACTTTTCATGTTTCTGTACAAAGTTATTATACTACTTTTCCAAATTTTCTAGTCTCGGTTTAACATACTTTTCGTTTATACGTTTTTTCGGTGATTTTTTGAAGTTAATGAAACCATTTCTCATTTTTATTTTCTCGCCTCCATTTTTTAATCGATATTTCAATATAAAGTCGTAATTTTTTTAAGTCATTGCACTATGGTCGCTCTGAATTCGGGCATCGATTCCCCGTCTCAACCAATTTTTTTAATATTAGTGACATATTCTAAGTCCTAAATACTTGAGATATTTTTCTATGACCCAACTGAATTCACTAGCTATGGTACTATTGTACTTATAGTTTTCCTGACACTTTACCCTTATCGCAGATATCCTCTTTACTTCTCTGATAATAAAACTTTTTCATTTGTTCATAGATTTCAATCTACTACTTTCTATTTTATTGCGGTTCATCCAAAAACCGTCTGATTTTTGGATGAAATTAAAAAATTGGTACAAAATGTCAGGGATCGTGGGGAGATGAATAAAATTCATACTCGCACAACAGAAAAAATTATTTAGAATCAATTTAAAATTACAGCAATATTTTATTATCGCGATGTTATTCGCCATAACGCCATCTAGACGTCGAGATTAATATAAGTTGCAATATTAATCTCGATTCTAATATGTAATCGATTATAATAAATCTCGATGATAAAATAAATTATAATTGAATGAAAGTATCGAATACCAACACTTGAACATGAACATGTTGAAATACCAACCACCGAGGATTTCGTACAAATATAATATGAAAAAATAAACAAGTTCTCCTGTAATCTAAAGCTAAGGAACTATTAATTAACTTATTTTTTTAATTTAATTTCTAGGCTTTATGGTTAATATCATCATTTTTTTGCATATTCTATTGTAAATAACCCTATTTTTTCATTTTAAAAGATATGTTGCATATAATTAGCGAAGGACAGACATAGATAGAGAAACAACCACGAGATATCCTGTTAAGGTTACGTTTTTAACCAGAATCAAAAAGAAAACAAAAATAGATTACAATTCCTGGAAATCCTTGTCAGAATTCAAGCGATTAGCTAATTCAAGAAAATGAAAAATGATTTGGTGCTTAACCAAGCCTTTGAATTTTTAAAAATTATTTTTCGATTTTTGCAGTCGGTTTCGGGTTTTTGAGGAAAAACAGTTTTCTTTTTTGAGATTAGGAAGCCTATAAAAGGATATGTAATTACGCGTTTTATATTACTTCCATATGTTCTGACATTGTCTGAATTAATGATCTTGACCTGAGTTCTTGAACTTAATCTTGGATTTAATCATATTTCTTACAGCTCTATGTTTTGTTATGCTGATAAAATCATGTGTAGCTATTAAGGTAATTTGTAGGTACACCTTCTTATATAAATAACATCATTGTATTGTTTCTCAAAATATGTGTTAAATTACGCACGTACGTGTATATGTCTATGAAGGTATTTTTGTCCACGTATTTCCCGCCAATTAGACATATTTCGTTTTGTTTAATGGATTAGTTTTCAAAAAAGTGCAATTTTTATCAAAGAATTTTTTATTTTGATTTTGTTTTTTTTTTAATGATCAGTTGATAGCAATTTGATAAAACTAAGACTTTTTGGCGTTTGAAATGTAAAAAAATTATGTTAATTAAGAATAATCAGTTGAGGTTTTGTACTTTTCTCAATTCAGAAACCCGCCGTTAATGTACAAATTTGAAAAAGACAAAGAAAAAATATAAAAAAGTGACTTTACAAAAGCTAAATAACAGCGAATACAAAAAAAAAACTTTTATTGGACTTGATACTTCCCCACTGCGGGGACATAGTCCTTATGGATAGTTAAGGAGGATGGACCATGACCTCCACTTGATTGGAGGGCATTTACGACAGCAGAGATAATAATTTTATGATCATCCATCCCGTGACCGACCCTTGCAAAAGTTGATTAACAACAACGATCGTGGGCTGTGGCGCTTATTCATTACTCCACCGACCTACTTCGGAGTCAGTCATTTGATATTAATTACACATACAAAACCTTTGATCAACTGCTATCCTTCTTGATTTTTTTTTTCATTTTATTCAACATTATTTAGACAGCGAAATTTAACCTACTTCCCGCTTTGCGATTGAGCTGAAATTTTCTATGCATATATAACTCAGATGACGTGATGATCTGTTGTAAGATAATATACACATATGAATATAGAATGTAGTTGATCTGGAACTTCATGTCTCCATCAGCAGATCAGCTGTGCCAGCTAATAGCTATGGGATCTGTTTGGGATGTCTTGATTTATCTAGAAAGGATCTATACAATGGAGCTGATCTGATGATAGAGCCGGTAAGAAGCCATCGGATCTCTGTAATGAAACCAAGCAAATCCATCGTATTTGGGCCCATTTCATTTGTCTTAACAATTACTTTGGTCTAAGATAATAGACACAGTTTGATGATGTAACTAGAAGGTGCCATAGGAACTTTGCGATTGAGTAATGAGTAAATGTTGAGTTTGGCTTCGTTTGATTTGTCTATACCTATATAAGATATATCAAACATAATATGCAGCAATAGTTTGTTTTTAAAAAGGCAATTTTATTTATGAATAACTTACATAAGGTTAACTTAAAAGTTCCAAAAACTTACTTAAAACTTTCTTTTTGCTGGCCTGTATAATAAAATTTGATTTTGAGTAATATTGAATACCTAGCGATATAAAAATAAGTTTTCTCAATTGGCACAACAGGGATTGTTTTGTAACATACATAAAAAAA